AATCACATCAAATTCATCTTCTTCTATGACAAGATAACTATCCTTGAGGATGGAGAGAAGCAGATGTCATGAACTGACTTGGAACAAAATTTTGACATTTTCTTGTATGACAGACAAACAGGTTATAATGGTCCAGGATGAAAAATGGAATAGAAAAAACTATTAGCTTTATGTGACAGAAAACATCCAAGTTGTCACTAGGTTTTTTTCTCCCCAAATCAAAGCTCTTCACTCTATACTTCTCCAAGACATATGCCCTGGATCCAAGAGTATTCAACATTTTCATTAACTGTGAAGATGGAAAGAGAAGAATGTGTGTGTTTAATTTCAGGCCAACACAATCTGGCAGGGTTGCAAGAATGCCAGAACTCATACTAGTCTTGAGGAGTTGAAAAAAAATTACCTGGAAGGACTAAGATGCAGCACACAATGGTAACAAGTTCAAGAGTTCCCTTAGGAAGAAGCTAATTACCTAATTAAAACACCAGTATGGTGGGCAAAAGTATGTCTTTTAGAGTCCACAAAATGAAAACAGCATGCTGTTGACAAAAAGATAACTGGCAGTTTTATGCACAGGATCACCCTTTCATTTAGCCCATCAGCAGTAATGCTTCAGCTTCACCGCTGTATTCAAACTGGACAAAAACAAAGGCGGTATATAAACAACTGGAAGAAAAGCCAAAAGAGAAGATGAGAATCACAAGTCTAAAAATAGTTTGTCAAAAAGAAACTTAGCACTTCCAGTTTTTCATGTAGATAAGAATGAAAGTGGAATTAATCATCAAACATGTAGCAGATATTGCAACGCAGAAGGATTTTTTATGTCAGCTGAAGACAGAGCAATAAGAATTCAGTGTAGGGACATTAATGTAAGAAAAAACATTTTTACTAACAAAGCAGACTTGTAGAGCCTGTGGAATCTCATAATCAGATGTTTTGAAGAAAAGTGCAAACATGGCAGGAGTCACTGAAAAATTATCGTTAAGCACTGAGGTGCAAAGGAAATTCTCAGGAGACTGCCCTCACAGACTAACTTTCTGAGACTTTCCCATTAGTATCTCAAAGATGCTCAGTGATGAGGAGCTATCCCAAAATCTCATGAGAAAATCAGAACATGTAATATTAATTTGAAACAGGCAAATGCTATTTTCTTCCTCTTATAAATTATAAGGGTCTAATGACTGCATGTGACTAAAGCAAAACAAAATAGAAAGGTCAAAAACTACTCTAAAGAGTACTTGCCTACAAGGAAAAGATGAAAGAATACAGTGGAAGAACCGTATCCCTGGACTTTGTCTAGCAGCGACAGCTCACGTGAGAGTGAAATACCCCACCCAAACACACGCAGCATCAGGCTGCTGTGCCAGTCACTTTCAGGATCCACACAGATAAAAGCGGAAAAACACATCTGATGATGATGCTACCCAGGACACATAACTGAACACTAAGCACCTGCTGAATCCATCCATCGTTTCAAAAAGGCCATTTCAAAAGATGCAGGTGACTTACTACTTTACCCTGAAATTGCAAATAGGAGATGTAATTATATTTTTTGCCTTGCTGTTTGTCATTTACTTTACACTAAAAGCTAGTAGTTCTATTTTTCAAGGGAAATGTATCAACTGCCTTCTGATGCAGAAGTCTAGCTGATTCCCACAAACAGTAACATGCAGACAGATGCTGTCTAGCTACCTGCACTGAGCACTGCTCCTCATGGTGACCTGGCCCAAGGCAGTTAAGCGGCCGAGCAGAAATACTCAAATGTGTGTGTGCACAAACTGGCACTGGCAGAATTTTATATTAAAATATTGGTATCTATCTCCTTTTAAGAAAAATAAGAAGGATTTTCTTTTTGCCTGCCTTCCCACAGAATCACAGAACAGTACAGCTTGGAAGGGACTTCTGGAGATCATATAGTTCATCCTCACTGCCAAAGCAGGTTCATCTAGAGCAGGCTGCACAGGATGGCATGCAGGCCGGTTCCTGATCTCTCCAGGGAAGGAGGACTCCACAACCTCTCCAGGCAGCCTGTTTCAGTCCTCTGTCACCCTCACAGTAAAGAAGCTCTTCTTCATGTTCAAATGGAACTTCCCATGTTCTAGTTTGTGCCTGTTGCCAGGCATCACCAGAAAGTCTGGCCCCACCCTCTGGACCCCTGTCCTTCAGAAATGGATCAGATCCCCTCTCAGTTTTCTCTTTTCTAGGCTAAACAGCCCCAGCTCTCTCAGCCTTTCCTCACCAGAGAGATGCTCCAGTTCCCTCATCTTTGTAGTCCCTCTACTGGACTCTCTCCAATAGTTCCTTGTCAATGCCACTCCCAATTTTCCTTATGCCTCTGGCTAAGTCTCTTCCCTTTAATTTCACCATGGACTCTCCTCTAAGTACTGTTTAATTCTACGGGACACAAGGGAAACCAGAGGTTAAAACATACAATTTTGAAAAAGAATGCGAGAGCTTTCATGGTAAGATGCAGAAATCTGAAACTGGTGTGTTATTTTGCTCTGTTTTAAGGGGAAGTATGTTCTTAAAAACATTGCTTCTCCTTCCAGTAACAATTGAAACAAATACTCATTAACAATTCTGGGGTTGTTTTTTTTTTTTTTTTTTTTTGTTTGTTTTTTTGTTTTTTTGTTTGTTTTTTTGGGGGGAGGGGGGGTTGTTTTTTTTAAGGGCTGGTGAAGATAGCCAACTGAACATATTATTACCCAAGCCATACAGTGCACAAGGTAAAACCCTGAAGGGTGTCAAGAATTGTGGCACATTTTACCTTCCGTCCCACATACACAGGAATTCCAATAATCATAGCAGGAATAGCAATGCCAGCTATTAAGGCAATTCCTACAGGAGCTCCAACAAGTGTCCCTAGCTGCCACAGTATTTTCTTCTTACGGCTCCATGGTTTCTTTCCCCAAAATGTGCAACCTGATGGGCTAATAGAAAGAAGAAAATTGTAACGACACTGTAAATAAATTAACATGATTATACAGTACTGAACTGTTCTCTAGTTACAAAATCATTGTTCTTAGGTTCAAGTTTCAGATGTTATGGATACCAAATCAGTTACAATTTCTTCTGATTTTTTTTTTTTTCCTTTAGAGTATACTTTGCAATCTAAGGAAAACCATATTGTGTATTACCACAAGCCAGTCTCTGGTTCACAGGCAACTTAACACAGTTTTATTACTTACTATGAAGATAATACAGCAGTATTAAGAGATCAGTAAAAACAGTGAGTATGTTCATCAAAAACACTTCATTTGTTGTACTAAGTACACATCGCATGCACAAAACTTAAGAAAAAAAACTTTAAAACAAAGTAACAAAGCACTAATTCAAATAAATGCACTGAAAACTAACAATTTTCAAATATGGATACTACATCTGTGATTCTCTGCTCCAACTGGAAGACTTATAGCACCCAGGAATCTATTTCTATATACTTCAGAAAACAAACTATAAACCACTTTTTTTCTTACATGTACCTTAAATAATGTAAATCTGAGATCTCTTTCATACATAGCCAACAGAATTCACAGCCACAGACAGCACAAGTCATATGATTGCAGCTTCCATCATTCATTTTTATTATATATGCAGCACAGCGTGGGCATGGCTTTATGTCATCAGCTGTTCAAAAATGAATATTAAGATCATATCAGTTCTTTAGACAAGATAGTTTAATCAAAACATACACATGTTTGGGAAAACTTATTGAACCATTATCTGAAAAAGGGAAGAAGTTTATCATAAGTTTGCTTTACGAATCTTATTTGGCAATGACTTGACAGCTATTAGCAAACCTGGGACCAAGTAAAAGTAATGAAAACACTGCATATTAGATCACCTTCAAGGAATTGAATAGTGAAGGATTCAAGGATTTTCTAAGCTTAATGCAATATATGTTAATCGTACATTAAATATGTATGTTAATACAGGACTGATAATATGGTCTCTTTAAATATAATCTTCTTTCACATTTCATGCTGTTATGAATCTTTCACGTGAATATTCAGTCTTCACCATTACTTCTTCCTTTTACCTTAAATCCATCTCTGCCTCCACATTAAGTGCATTTCTTTGGTATCACCAACATCCTTGAGTTCTTTTCACAACCCCACTTAACACTTATTCTCTAGAAAAAAAAATACTGTAGCAAAAAAAAAAAAAATTCTGGAGGCTGTCCTTGTTCCCAAGTCAAATACTGAAGAAATGCAGTAAAGTGACTAGCTCTAACGGTCATTGAGCAACAGTGCAACACTTTTATACTGACACAACCACACTTTTGATCTTCACTCTTTCACATCACTGGTGCGCATCTGCACTTTGGGACAGGCTAGTCACAGCAGCAGCAGAAATAGCCTGGAGCTCCTACTGCAGATGTCCAAATTTACTACCCCTGTGCTACTAGGCAGGAGTTATACTGAGCACAAAGAATAGCCAAAGTGGTGCAGAACCAGTACCTCTACCAACTCCAGTGCAAAAGGTCAGGAAGCAGCTCCCCAGATGGGAGCAGATGCACAACCTATAGGACAATTAACTAAACCGAGCCAAGTTCTTACACCACAGGTATGGCAGAGCTATTGCTGTTCACCGTGGGAGCACCTGAAAGGGCAAGGAAAGCAGCTGGCTTGTTAATGTAAAGTTTGTTTTAAAAATTTATTTAAAAACCAGAGCAAGATGGTGATTTTTTAAGACAAGATGAAGTGCCTTGTTAAAATGAGCCATCACAAATAAGAAATTAGACTCCCAGTTTTAGGGCTGAATTGGAGAACAACGGCTCTAACTATATTCTAAGTGCAAGAGAGATTCTTCTCCCCAAAAATCTACCTTATTTGGTCAGGCAAACACAAAAGCTGCCAAATAAGATGGCTTGGTGAAACTTAAGAGTCAGTTCTTATCAATAGGCAAACTGGACTCTTGCTCTGAAAAATACTACACTGAATAGTTTATCCTGTTTTTCTGGGGGGCTATAAATAAACAAGAGTTTTAAGAAGATGAAACTGCTTTCTAAATGTGCTTACAGTGGTAGCAAAACTTTCTGGCCAAGACAGATGAGGATTTTATTGAAACACAGAAATTAGTATTAACAAACGTCAGAGGCAGCATCAGACTAAGTTTCTTTCCAAAGCAGAAAGTTGGTGCTTTCAAGTTTTACTTTCAACAACTGTTATTATTAGCAGCCCTGTGAAATTTCACCTAGAGCAGAGAAAAGTGTCCCCAGTGTTTCAGTGGTACAATTAACGAAGTCAGCCTGCCAAACACAGAGAATGCTTTGCAGCAAGTTCCCCTGACTTCACATTTTTCAGCTCCAAAAGAAGAATTTAAAATGCTGACAAGCCTGTAAGATTGACATCAGAAGCTGTGGTCAGAGTACTTAAAATCAGAATATTTAATTAACTTTAATTCAAACTTAAAATTGTGTATTCATGGCTCTGAAAGACAAAGCAACTAGCATCTGGCATGCTACTGTTCAGTTCTTTCCTTTTTAGAGTTAATTATGCAAAAGTACTAAAAAGATATTTTATAGAAACAGAATCCTACTCATCAATACCTGCTGCTCCAGATTCCTGGCTGTAACTAATAGATGAAGAACGAATTGTTCTCAGGCGCAGGCTTTGAGCTCTTTCCTGGCGAGCAGCATCGCAGGTCTGGTTTGGATGCCAAATCTGCTTACAGTGGTAGCAAAACTCAGTTCCGCACCCTTCTCGCCCACACGTAAGTTTGGGACAGCTGGCACATCCAAAAGCAATCACAGCATACCTTGAATGATCAAGAGGGGCAAAAGATAATTTTATTAATAAAAATCAGTCCTGTCTATAGGCCAAAGTAGACAAGACAGCTGTCAGAGCAGCTGAAGCAGGTACAAAGGCAGTGGACATGAGAAGTTGAACCCATGCTGGCCACCTAATGTCCTTGCCACCTTCCATACCAACACTTTGCTTTACCTTACCATGGTCACTTCATGCAGTACTGAAACACACCATATTTAAGGCTGAATGCAGCACTGGTCACAAAGCAATCATAGTTTAGAGCAGTGGGACAAGGAAACTGAAAAAAGATGGTTTTGTTTACTTTTTTTTACATTTTAAAATGCTGAAACGACAAAGTAAATATTTTATAAATAAGGATTTTGGTTTCTCAATTAAGACAATTTCATTTCTTGGACAGTTTAAAAAAATACACTCCAAACCATAAAAGCAGAAATTGCTAAGAGTCCACAGCCTCACTGCCACCTTTAATCTGACAATACTATAGAGCAAAAAGCTCCAAAAGCATTGAGGTTTACAAAGCTGTTACATTATTTTGTAAATCAGACACTACCTGAACAATTCTATACAGCACCAGAGTTGTTTCCACAAATCAATTCCTCCACTGGGTCTGTATTTTAAAGTTTACGTGAGGAAAATATTGGCAATGTGTATATTTCATATTAAGACTAAATATTAATATATATATATGCACACATCTACACACCCTTACCTTAATTCACACCCATTGTCATTTTTTCAATGATTTTACACAATAGCTTTCTTTTAAATAGAACAACAATACTAGGTCCACTGGTATAAACACTTAAAACATACATGTAGTTTTATTCACATGAACAGCCCACCTTGAATAAACTTCAACAAATTTATAATTGCAGCACAGATTAAACTTACAGCCAGTCAAATTAATGTCATTTTATTTTAAAGGACTAAATTTTTTACTTTTACCCCCTGCCCAATTTATAGCAGTTTTATAGATTAGCTCAAACTATAGCTTGTCAGTATTGACACTGAAAAACTTATTCCAACTCACATCTACCTGAATATTTAGCCATTTCAATTTTAGAGTAGCTAGATCTGAAGCTCTGATTTTAATGCAAATCCCATCCCTTTCATTAGTGTTCTAAAACAGCATGTTTGAGGCTTCCTCCCACCAAGAGGTTCTGCTAACAGTTTTCCTTAATGCAGTCTGCTAGTACTACAAGTCAAACTGTTCAGAAAAAATGGCCTCAGTTTTAATTGCATAGTGTACAAGCTGATTACAGCTGCCAAAGCAATTAGAAACTACGACTACTGTTGTACCACATAACTGTGAAAAGCAAGTCTGCTGATTTGAAATTTGTACACACTGTATGTGATAGCACATCTTTAAACAGTGCTGGTTAACACAGGCTGTTCAGTAAAGTCTGAACAGTGTCTGCCTCCCCCTAAACCTCCGCGCCTGTACAATTCCTTCCTCCAGCCTCCTTCTATGCTCCACAACATTAAATCCCCATTATTACTTTCTATACCACTCCCACTTCTCCTTCCTACTTCCCTCTGGGTGCTTCCTCCCAGCTCCCTTGGCTAACAGTGACAGACGGGAGAGACTAGTGCTGCAGCAGACTCCTCCTGCCGTGGTGGCTGCCTGGAAGGCCAAACTTAAAAAGGTAACTGCAGGATTCACATGCAGGTACTTCTCTTGCTGGAAGCAGTACTGGTAGTTTCTCCTTTGCTCAAGTACTATGTTGTGGGTTTGGTTTTTTCCAAAAAAACTTCTTAGATTAATTTATGTGGAACACTCAACACCCTCTGTACAACATATCTGAATGTGCTGAAGGCTTCAAATGTGATCAGAAGGAGAGGAAAAAGATAAAACCCAATCACACAAGCTCTTTTTTCTTTAGGATGGCAACCATAAAGAATGATCCCACTGACAAGTATCCAAGTAACCAACTTCATCTGATTTTAAACTAGTAATGGGGACTCAGGGGTACTACCCATGCATTGAAAGCATCTATCACTGTGAAGCGTCTCCCTACCTCATTAAATGTATTAGGAAAAAGTTGTGTTATCAAACAACAGTCAAGGTGGCCCATATAGAACTAGTTTGTTCCACTCACACCGACACTGTCACAGTTCAGCTGCCTGGCAATATACTGTGTTTTCCACAGGATTCCACCCTCAGAGTTAACAGGCATGCAGTTGGCAGCTGTAGAGCAATGACTTAAATATCTGCTATATACTAACACACTGCTTGCACAGAACTTTTAACATCACTCTGAAGACTCACTTTTTATTTTTGTAAAAAATAGTATCTATAATAATTATCATTACAACTTCTGACTATTTAAAGATACTTCTGATTATTTTTTTTTTAAAGAGACAAGACAACTGAGGCACAAAAAGAGAATCAAGGAGAAAGCGCCTTAGTCTACTACTGAAATACTAAAAAAAGTATCTGAACCACTGAGAAAATGGTTTAACAGCAAATGGTTTTAACAGTTCTTACATGCTTCCCCCTGCCTTGAGTAGCAAGCATTTGTCTGGAACATGAAAACTCAGGGCAACTTGAGCAAAGCATACTTCTGCCTATCAAATAATGCCTTCTACTGGCTGGTTTCTTTTGCAGTACTGAAGAGCTGAACAGCTTTATTCTACATCACTGTTACAAACTCAGGGAACCCATCCATCTCTCAAGGCATTTTTTCCTTCTCAGTTCAAATGACAACACAGCAATGCCATCCACTTTGGACCAGAGGACCAAAGAAGCTACCACCTTTCCTACCCCTGCTTTTGACCCACATTAGCCATCCCTGTTTCATTTAAAGTATGAAAGCAAAACTATATTTCAAATATATTTCTTAAGATATCCTTTACATTTGTAAGCTAACTAAACATCAAGCACCTGAACATTAATATTGCAATAGGTAATCCACCTAATAGTCCTATTTTGCTTGTTCTTTTCCAACATTTTTCTTTTTCTTCTTTCTACTTATTTTTCATCCATGAGGCTTTGAAACAGATGCCACCTTCTGTGAGATCTTCAGTGTGCACTGCACATCTGGGCCACAGCCATGGCAATAACCCTTAGACATTGTGATAAAGGAGACAATCTCTAAAAAGGCAGCTTGCTGAAGAATGGCATTGACACCCCAACAGCAGAAACACATGATGAGCTGCTCAGTAGTATTCAGCCTACTCATGTCAGAATTCACAAGTTTCACTACTCTTTACATACTAGAGCACTGTTAAAACATTACGTTCTTCAGATAATAAGCAGGAACAAGTTGATTATTATCTTACATCAGAATCCTGTTGACAGGCAATCAGTAGTATCTCAAGCAGCCACAAAATGGAAGACATATGAAGCTAGAGAGGCCTTTTTATTGAAGGAAAAAAACATAACCAAACCCAAACCCTTCAATCATTTTTCAGTTAGAAAACCAAAATACCTACTTTGCTTCAACAAACAGAGTAAGTCAAAGGTACAGTCATGAAATTTTTAATTCCCTTTAGTTTGAGCTTTGCACTGTTGCCTTGGCAGTGTAACATCTAAATTTTGTTTTGCCTGTTGTAGATACATAGCAGCCACCTACCAGTAAGTTTCATGACGTTGCTGAAATCCTCTCTGTACAGAGGAAAATCATCCGGCTTGAGGAAGGTTTTATTTTGGAAGGCGAGTTATGGCTTGGCCTTTTGGTGTTGTTTCGGGTTTTATTTGGTTTGGTTTTCTGGGTTTGGTTTTTTTTTTTTTTTGTGTTTTTTTTTTTTTTTTTTTAAAAAAGTTATTATAAAAAGATAATTCTACCTGCTACCTACTCATACAACACAACAAAACGCTAAAGTAAAGCTATTACCATTTCATAAAGCATGATGCTATGAACATTATTTATGCTGTCACTCTTTTGTAGACACTAGAAAAAAAATACATACCCACAATCTGGAGCTGGGCACCACCTACAATCAGGATCTGCAACCAGCCATCGCCTAAGCATAAACTCTTCATATTTCTCCATCAAGACGTCATCATTTAATATCAAACGAATATCATGAGGATTAAATCGTTCCGAGCATTCCGGACAGCTAATGTTAACTCTGCTCTCAGAAATTTCTATCCGGAGATACTGCCGCAGGCAATCCACACACGACCTGTGGTGGCAAGTCATGATCTCCGGGAACCTGTCCCTGGAGTGCCGCAGAAGGCACAGGGGGCATTCCATGAAGTCTCCGCTTGGTTTGCTGCTAGAGGTTGTTCCGTTATCCGAGGAGGTACATGTGGAGAAAATAGAGTTCTTGTCTGTACACATTTCTGAATGAATGCTTTCAATGCTTGCGATTCCATCAACACCTCCATTTAAATCCCTAGACTTGCGTTTCGTATCTTTTTTCCTCCGAAAAAGAGAACCTAATGATATTCTTCTTTTCTTTGGTGCCTTTTTAACCGATGGCAAGCTCACAGAGGAAGCAGAAGACTGGAGGTCTCGATCAGAGCCCATTTGCCGATGTAAGCTCATGTCTAGGTCACTCATCAGAAATGGGTTAAATTTCATATACAACCCTAATCATTTTTAAGGATCAAAATAACAGTCTCAGAGGATATAGGCATATTATTATGTAATCCTGTTTGAGAGACTTCATACAGAAAATTCACATGTATCCGCTTCCAGCAAATTCTTTAGAGAAATTCCCTGTATCAGGAGAAAAGGTGAAAAAAAAAAAAAAAAGATTAGAATCACATCCATCACTTCTGGTTCTGAAAGATCACAGCACTCTGACGACTCTATTCACACTACTACCACATTCCCCTCACCATGTGACTCAATGCTTCTTTCTGTCAGCTTCTTCTATCCTTTACATCCTTCTCATCTTAACAACCCTGAAATATCCCTGTGGTCAAGGAATATCTTTGTTACACTTAAAACAGTGCCAAAAACAGCATCTTCACTCCCCTGCTTCCCTAAGGGGGGTGTGTGTGGGGGGTGTGTATCACACATCTGTAGAAATTGTCATAACCCAAGGTGACAACTAAGTAGATGCATAACAAGGTCTTCTATAAAGCCCAGTAGCAGGCTTACAGCATTGGAAACTCTTCTGTTTTCTCTACCTTATATTTTCCACACATGCAGCAAGTTCACGTACAAACCCAATATAGCTAATTAAAAGAAAGGAAGTATTTTTCTACGTGTTTTGAATCCATTTGGACTGCATCTCTGTGGCTAAACAACTCAAGATACTCACAAAATCTAAGAGTACTCATAAGTATGCAGATGCATATTTATAAATGTTAGGCACCTGAATATTTCAGGAGGCTGAGCTGCAGAATGAGTGACAGCCAAGACTGTCTTGCCCTTGAACTACCATATTGCAATTCAAGCAAAGACTAGAGTTAAAGTGACGAGATTTGAATTTTTCATCATACTGATCTTTATAAAAAAAAAAAAACAAAACATGAGAGAGAGAGAGAGAGAGAGAGAAACCTACGGAATTCCCATCACACATCAAGTTTCAGTTGTTCCCTATGTAGAAGATGATGGCAAGGACTTCCTTCTGTTCCCTGTTGCTTAACTGACTGGCTCCAAGAGGAGAAAAAAAGGTGCTTTTTCCTATATTTGTCCAATTGAGGAGACTGCTACAAGAAGTGGCAGATCACCTTCAACTAAAAACACCAACTTCCCCCAAGCATGCGAATATTCCCAATTTTTGGAAGCTTGATTGTACAAGAGGAATATTTCTGACTCCCAGTGGACTGCTTCTGTAACAAAAGAACAAGACGACATTTTTGATTTGTCATTAGGTGTTGCATATCTGGATGCAACTACTGCTGGCACTCTCTTTCCTCAGTGTTTCCCAACTTGCCTCCAAGAAAGGAATGCACTGGGTTTCTATGATTTTGCCATAGGATGAGAAAATCAGAAAGTGGATACTAGAAGTCACAAAGTAGAAACAAATCAATGTGGAGCGTCAGTAACAATGATACAAAAATATAAATCCTAAATTATACAGCCTTGGTATGGAGAAGACAAAGGGAGGTAAAAAACCTGACTGAGATGAATGCCTCTATTTACCAGAGCCCAGGCAGCCTGCACACCAGCTAGAGACTGGCTGAAAAACAACCATGTGCTGTATGTCTCCAGGACTGGATCACCGAGAGGACTGGGTCAAAACTAGGAAGTTTCAGAGGAAGACTGGCCAGCAGCAGAAACAGGAATCCCTCTCCAAGGAGGAAACACAGAAATAGCCAATGGTCTGTCCAGCTGTCAGAGCAATGTGTGCAACAAACCCACCGCTGGGCCCTCCTCAGAATACTGTAGCTTCACATTATATACACATACTAGCAGCTAGCCAAGTCAGCACTACTCACTTTGTACTACCATCCAGTAAGGCAACACCCCACATGAATACTACCTTCCTCAAGTGTCACAATTTAAAAAAAAAAAAAAAAAAAAAAAACCAAAACAAAACAACCCAAGCCAAACCACAAAATACCCTCTCATGTCTGTTTTTGCTATAAAGAGATCTTGCATTCTGGACCACAAAGCTTTTGTTTGTTTGTTCTTTAAGAAAAGAATTTAGAAGCCACTATATTCTATTTTTTCAAATGCCAAATTATTACTTTCTTCTTTTTCTAATAAAGGAAAACATTACCTCTAGTAGAACACTATATTTAAAAAAAAAATAATTCTTATTTTATTCCCAGGGTCTAAAATAAAGCATATTTCAAGAACATAACATACTCCTTCCCTCCTAAGAGAACATTTTCAGCCTAAAATCTAGTCAAAAGGAATTTTGGATGCTTTACCTGTTTCTGTTCCCAAAACAAATTTAAGAGTTTTACAACTGCTGTTTCTCATTTAATGAGACAACTAAAACATTTCCTTATCTGAAGAAAAAGGTGAAACTGCTCAACAATAACAAAGAACATTCTTCTCTCTAGGATTTTGGCATGCTGTTATATCATATATACACACAATTAGTAGATGGCATCTAAATCATGCTACAGATACACAAATCCCATAACCTTTACAGCCTGATGACAAATTAAGTTTATATGTCTAGAAGCGCAAGAATAATGTTGAAAGCATTATTATAACTACCTAATTACTAACGTTTGTATGTCCACACAGACACTACCAGGACAGTATGAAGTGTCAGCCAGGTAAGTCCATGAACAGCAACAAAAGCACTCATTTTCAGGCAAAAACGTATGGTGTTGTGTTGTTTGTGTGTGTTTTTTTCGTTTGGTGTTTTTTTTGTTTGTTTGTTTGTTTGTTTTTTAATTATTATTATTGGTTTTTTTTGTTTGGTTGGTTTGGTTTTTTTTTTAAGTTAAAAAAAAAAAAAAAAGTAGGAAGTAAACACAGTAACACAGCCAAGCCTATGACTACAAGCCTTCCTCTCCTCCCTTTCTCTGGAGAGGAAAGAATTTGTATTACCGCATTTCTGCCAGTTCCAACCGATGTACAAAAACAAGAAACAGCAGCTCTGGTGATGAAGCAGTTGCTCTTTTAAAACAAAACAAACAGAGATTCTCCCATGCTGTAAAGAGACAAGTAGATCCTACAGTTCTCTTTGCACAATGGGATCTGATAAGCAGTATCTCAGAAAGAGCAGATTGCTCTTCTAAAGAAAACGGTTAAACTTTTTCAGGATTTGTTAATGGAGAGGTTGCCAGTTATTTCAGACAATCATCAGTTATGCTTTCTAGATATAAATGCATAAAGCTAGCTTTAAAAGTCATACTCTTCCTTATATAGTAATTTCGGATTGCCATTTTAGTGACATCCAAAGATGAATTTGCTAAAGTGAAAAGATTCAGCAGATTTATTACAGAAAATAAATGAAGACAAATGTTACAATGTTAGTAATGATCAGAGCTGTGCAAAATCCTAGAAGCCTTACTAGCACAATCTGGAACACTGGCCAGCTCTCATGTTGCCCAACCCCACACAGCATCTGCATATTTTTGCTGATAAAAAGATGGAAAAAAATATGAGATTCGGTACAGCCGTAGAACACAATGCCTGTATTATTTCAGTAACAGTGAGTCCACAAGAAGGAGATATGCTGTGTGAAAAATGAAGTTTTGTAACAAGTCAAGACACACAATTATGGCAATAGTAACAATCTGAGTCTGACAGGCAACATTAATTTTAAGTTCTGCACTCACTGACCAGTATAAATTCTGTCAACATATAGAGGAAACTAATACCGGCAACAGCGAAGGGGCAGAAAAACCACAGAATGTAACTCCTAAAAATTTAAGTTCACCGCTGTCCTCAACATTTCCTCAAAAGTACTTACCGACTACAGAAAAAACGTGTTTCTGGCTTCCCACCATGACCAAAACTACCACAAATCCAAATTCTAGCCATGCTTCGCATTCTGCTCGCTCCACAGACTACCACAAGACAGCAGTTGCCATAGCACGGGCACACTTTCTCATTCGGAGATCTCCAAACGCAAAAGTGATGTCAGACTAACTCACATAAAACTCAGTCCTTAACTGTTATCTGTTCCTCTGGTAAGCCTTCCTAAACTGTTTGCCCAGGAAACCTAATTAACATCCAGTTTGTTTCCTTCTATAATTCCTTCCAACCACACTGCTTGAAGGAAATGCTATTGCTGACTGTATCATGAAGGGGGAAGGAAAGGAAACCAGAATAATCTTGCAAAGGGAGAAGTTCTTAACTTTGATGACTGGGGCAAAAACTATCTTCTAGCATGGCTCTCCATGACATAACGATTGCTCGTCTCATCCTACCAATTGCAGAACTTCTAGGAAATGCACTAGGGCAGCTGAGTACAACCCGACTGATTTTGCAAGAAGAGCGATGAAGCCCTACTTCTGCAAGCCAGCTGCTGGGCCAGAGTAACTCCCTTGTGCATGACTGTCCTCCAGACACACCAGCAGCACAAGCTCAGTGTGCTGCCTGCTCCTCCACTACATGTTCAACCTGGTGTACAGGAGCAACAAAAAGAGTCCATCATCAGGACAAGCAGCTTCACACATGCAAAATGAAGGCAGGCTTAAACATTTGTGTAGGAAAGGAGAAAAACCATCATCAGCATAGATGATCCTCACTAAAACAAATGAGCACTCTTAATTTTAAGCACTGGCTCCTCCTGGCAATTTAACCAAGCACCAACTTGTGTTAGCACACTGAAAGCTATTTCTCAATCAAAACTGACTACTAAGAGCTTCCTTCTCTGACACTTGCAATTCCCAACATCCATACTCTGTAGCTGCTTTCTGAGAAGCTCTGCTCCAGCTTAAAGACAAAAAACTCAGAGCTTGAAGTTCATCCACTGACAACGCATCACAGATCTGAAATACGTTTCTGCCTCCCTCCTGTCAATTACATAGTATTCTAGAATTTATAAGTAATAATGTTAACATAGAGGTACCTCTAAACATCTAAAACAGGCCTCAAAACAACATTTTCCTTTCCATTTACTCCACGGTGCAAGAACCATAAAAATAGCAGAATAAAACAAACCTAAAATACACAAAAGCCTAAGGTCCTAAATTAAACACAAATACACAGTATTTTAAAGCAACAATCATACTTCTACCTGCTTTACACATGCAGGTTCAACGAAAAATCTGGCATCACTGAAAGTTAAAACAGTGAGGAACAGTCTGAAAGAGCTTGAGGATTGACAGCTATGTGCTCCTGTAGCACTA